TATAATAAACTGAATTCTGTGATCATGCCAAAGGAAACCACCAATCCAGAATAAAATATGCCAAATGACATTAGTAGAAAATTACTTAGAGATGTGGTGTCAAAATATACCTGTATTCACTGCTTATCAAATTTCTTTGAGACATTGCTCTAACCTGTTTAATTTTTAGTTGAAACTATGAATAAGAATTACCTAATTTGCATAAACTTAATGCATGGAGGGTGCCATACATCAAACCACACCTGTACAATCAAATTTATTTCGTGGGGCAGTCGTGTTCAGGTCTATTTCTTGAAAAACAAATATTCAGATTTGCAGTAGGGTATGTTTATATGCAGATTGTGGATACTCGCTGACCGTGTAGTCAAAATCTTTGCCTTTCTTGATGTATTGCAAGTGAAGGGTTGGTTACAAGGCTTACCAAGTGTTCACATTTCAAAATGAATGTTTGCCATAAAATGTGCAGTAGTTGGTATAAAATCGTTAAAGCTGTCCTTGTCATTTAAATTTCATTGGAAGCTGTTATGTGTACAAAATGCAACACCTGTAGTAATAAGTATGATAAATGGGGTTTAGGGCACTTGGGGCAGCCAAACCGATGTAAATATTACCCGCTGACTATGCTGTGGATCCAGGGCTAACATTTTAGACAAGTTGTGTGTAAGGCAAGGCAAAAACAGCATGACATTTTATGTTGTCCAAACGAAAAAGGTGATCTTGAATTGGTGCACCTTTTTACTTGATTCATTGCCATAAATGTCAAGATTTGTCATAACGAACTACATGTGCTGTAAAATACTTTATTTTTGCTGAAAGAAATGATTCAGTGAAAATAAAATCCAGTGAACATTGTTTTCCCTATATTTTACATTCAACTTGTCAATAATATGAAAATAAATTCCATACAAAACACCTAGCAAGTCTTTTCAGCGAAAATTTATTCCAGCTAAAAAAGTATTTTACAGTATGAGAGGCAGTACAAGTAGGGTACGAGTCAATAAGTGCTATGAAGGATCAGACAAATAACGCCATTAATGTTGACACCAATTTATTGCTAGTCTTTACACACCAAGTTCTCTGGCACATATATTATTGCTTGTTGGACATAAAACATTCTTGACGATGCTCACAAGTGATGAATAAAAAAATAATTCTGACTAAAAAAAACTAAATGTATGATTGATTCAAGTAAGTTTTTATAATTTAAAGTGCATGACACGCTGCACTCTGTTCAAAACAATGGGGTTTTTTGCGACGCGCATGTATAACATGCATTGTTACCATGGAAATTAAACGTGCAGCGATGATCATCCTTTGAATAAATTATTATCGCAGGTCACTGAAAAAAAAATGACCTGAAGTGTAACAATAGAAGCGAGAAACTAGCATTTGAATGAGAATAACTCTCTACTTCACCGGTGAAAATAATCATTCAGAATCGATATTCTCGCCAATGAAATTAAAACAATTTAATTTCAAATAACTGAGTTTTGCTCTAGACTTTTTACCAACAGGTTTTCCATGAAATTGATAAATATTTTAACAAACTTGTTCATCTATTGCTGTATACAGTCTATACACAAGCATAATTTAAAGCGGGGGAGTCGTCACCAGCGCATGCGTCAGATGGCCATAGCGTGTCATTGTTTACAAACAAGCATCTACCTATGAGTCTTTGCGTTGTTAGCGTGTGTTATCGTCGCTTGGGACTTGATTTCTGTGTGTGCGCGCTGGTGACGACCCTTTCGCTTTAACATGGAGATATCACAGGACAAATAACAAGTGTTTATTAAATTACTCCAATTCTAGCTGCTGCATCCATAATACTGTTCTATGGAAGCAGCGGAAAGACCATAATATTGTGAAAGAGTGTGAGCGACTACACCTGTATCTAGAGATCGCATATCAAACAATGTAGTCAACGATTCATAAAATAAGGGTAATGTGACCAAGATATCCATATATGGCGACATGCTCACGAATTCCATCCATTCATGCGTCAATTATTAAGCGTATTCAATCGAAGGTATTGCAGTTCAGCAGATGCTTGTTGCGTAAACGAAACATTATCACTTGCAAATAAGCAACGACGCTAGCATTAAAAAAAGCCTGAGCCGAATGCCAACAGTATTTTCACAGAATTTTGTGTTTATCTCGCAATTTGTGCGAATTTTCCAATTCACGCGAGTTCTTCACCACATATCAAATCACTTGCACCCTCATATTATAAATCCTAAATATTACGTAAATATCGAGACATCTCGCACACTTTAATTACTTGAAATGAATGCCATTAATTGAAAAACAATCACAAGTTCAGATGCAATTTGACATCTGGTTTTTCAGTACATTAATATGCCAAGTACCAGTATTCCAAGGGAAGTCACTTTGACCAGCTGTGAATATATATACACACACGCAGAACCCTATATAAACTGGAATTCCATCCAAATTAAACCAATTTGTTGTCCCCATTAGATTACAGACAGACTTATATCAAATAAACCCATTCGTTAGTCCCATTTGGTATTTGTTTCGACAGGTTCCAGTGTACACTGCTTACATTTACATGCAATTTACACGCGATATAATGTACATGCTGCTGGGTGGGGGGGGGGGGGTTACACTCGAGTCAGAAAGGCCCCATATACATTGAATTATTTACAAGTCTGAATATTTATGATCAGATTAATACAGCTGATCATAGTGTGGATAAAAAGTGTCGACCAATCACAGATCGTCGTAGGATATCTGATCTGAGAACACTTCACAGAATGAAGGTGCCAAGCCAATCAAATTGTTTTGTTTTGAATAAGACCTATTGCAAATGGATGGGTTTGTTGATTCCAGTGTATTTATATTTTTCTGGTGATTAACCTAAAACCTTTCTGAAGTAATATTTATGAAAATGACCATTAGTATTTACAATATACCAGTGAATTATGCTAATATATTCAAATATACTCTGGAATTATGCAAATATATTCAAGATATACTCTGGATTCATTGGAAAACATAATCCTATTTACATTTCTGTGGTACAGACAATTGCAATTACGATTACATTTATCATACAGGATGTGATGTCATCAATACAGAATATGATGTCATCAACACGGGAAGTCAAAGCATTACAAATAAATTTACACACTTTTGACCAGTATTTATCGTTTTTGTGAAACCATACAAATGTATTTTCACTGGTTTGCACTGACGCTTGGAATACATTTCACATGATAAACTACAACTACCATGCATGGAATACTGTTTGTTTTGTGCTTGTATGGAGCAACCCAAAATGTACTTACAATAAAACTTCTAAAATAAACCAGATAATCCCAGAAAGTAATGGATGTATAAATACAATAAATTACAATGAAGTGGTCATGTCAATAACAATTTATAAACATTAGTCATAAATTACGATTGTTGTACGAAATTTGGGAGTTGTTTTTTAATCTTGGCCACTGTGCTACTAGAATGGGGTTCAGAAAGGATCGATTCTACTCGACTGAGTATAGGACAAAACAGTACATGTATGACAGTGGCGACCCAAGTTAAAAGAAAATCCATTATTGAAATTGAGAAAATGTGAAAGAGTATCACATGGTTGCTCCTTTGCTTCATAATCGGAAGAAGAAAAACAACATCAACATATTTAAAAAAATAAGTTAAGTACTACAAAAATACAAAGTTCATAATTGCAAGATATATGCTCATTTCCCTTTGTCATCTAATCACTACTCTTGACTAATAATTTAGTTTTAAATTAAAAATCAATATTACTGGTAATTAAAAATATTTTCTTAGTTACTCCAAAAATATTAGCAGCATTTTTGTCCTTGACATAGTCTATGCTCTCTGGAGTTAAAAAGTTGTACCAGACATTAGTGACAGCTAGATGATTATAGAATATAATTATGACAGAACAAAAATGTTAGTCATTATTTTTCATTCAGACAACTCATTACAATGCATTTATTGCCCATCTCTGAATAAATGAGAAGCCAGCTTGAGAAATGAATGATGGGATACATATCAATAACCAATAAATTGTTGTACACGCACGTTACAGGCAATACACTGTACATATTTTTGGTAGTAAGGAATACATAATTATTCTCGGCCGAGGAGAAAAGACAGTTAAGTTGAACACTATTTGGGTAGTTATACATTTAATAAATGTGTTGATTGGCCACAATAAGTTGAATGAAACCATCTACAAGCTTTCAGTCGTTAAAGCGGGGGAGTCCTCGCCTGTGCATGTGTCAGATGGCCATAGCGTGTCATTGTTTACAAACAAGCGTCTACCCATGAGCCTTTGCATATTTAGCGCTTGTTGATATCGTTGCTTGGGACTGAATTCTTGCGCGTGGGCAGGTGACTACCCTTCCACTTTAAAATTACACTATGAGATCATTCAATTGTGTGAAATAATTGATGGGCTGAAAATGTGTGAATTTCGGGAAATAATCAATTCGCCCTTGTTACTTCAGGCCGGGTGGTAATTCGGAACAAAGATAATCTTTGTGATACTACCACAACTACAATGTTAGCAAATGACATCGAAACACAGAACCAATAAGAAACCACGATCACCAATATTTGAGTGTCATTAAAATCATTGGAATCTGTGCAGTTTCAATATTAATGATCTCAGCGTGCAACTTTAAACATGACCAAATAAGGAAAACGGCAGCTATTTCCAAAAAGTGGTCACTATAGGCATGTATACCCCCTGTAATCAATATTCAGCAGCTAAAATACAACACCAAGTCTAATATTTGCCATAGGCATTTCAGGAATCAGTGAATAAAGTGAGTGCTGCTTTTTTTTTTTAGTTCCCACCTCAATCTGGGTTGGTATTGTAACCATTTGTTTTCATCCTACTACAATTTAGTTTTTAGGCGAGGGAAATATTTTTAAAAAAATATTAAATTTTGTTGTTGTTATGCTACACCATTCAATAGAATGGTTTGCCAATTAAACTTCAGACCTGCCCTTATTTATGAATTCAAAAACATATACACACCCCCATACACTTGAATGTTATAATACTCGGAACTGTAATGTTTCAAGAATCTTCAGAAATATCTAAAAGAACTCCATAAATATTTAAATTCTTTATGCGACATAATTGTCAATTTAAAAAAACAAACAAAATAAAACATTATTTTATTGTATTACAACTATCTAATAAACACATCTCTTATTTTTTATTGCATTCTTGATTGTAATTTTTTTTTAAAAAGTTACATTTAATTTCATAATATAACACATGACCCTCTGCATACCAATCATATATGTGACATTTCAGATTTAAAAAATTAATTATTACGTTTTGAAATTTTGTTTATGTTAATTGCATTTTGCATTGTGAGCATTTTCAAATGGTGTTCAATTTTGGAGACTTTTGAAGAATTCTTTCCATCTTGGCATGGCTTCTCACTACAAAGTGCGGTAAAATATAGTCTGAACATATTACACTTTTGGCAATCCTGCTCACAAATGGAATTCAGCAACGTGAACAACTCGCCACTGTCATTAACAACATAAGTAGTTAAACAGGTTACATTAAAACATTGGCAAGTTGCAAGAATACTGTAAAACATGTCTTTTTCGCAAGCATGTCTTTCTGGCGAATTTACCGAGAGAACTGATTTGCTAATTCAAGATGTCGCTAATGACTTTATTATAAATTCAAAATGGCCAAGGCTTGGGGATTTGTATACAGTAATCCGGAATCTAAAAATCTGGGGCGCTTCCTAATTACACTTGACAGTTTTTCTTTTGTTTTTATAGAGGCGATAACAGCACATTTGTTTTGGCATGCGACAGATAAGTATCGTGAAAACAGGAAATCAACAATGACAAGAGATTCGCTAAATCAACATTTCGCTATTATGTCATTTTACCACAATTCGCTAAAATTGCATGTTGCCTTTTCAACATGTTTTACAGTAATCAATTTTTGAACTCCAAAAATGAACAGCATTTCCAAATTTTCTCTGTTACAAATATCTAGCACAGTTGCAAAAAATTGAATTAAACTACCCACAAATGTTTACTGCCCTCAGTGTCAAGATTACACACTTAAAAATACTGTCACAAGAGGGCGCACTGACAGTGTAGGTCTGTATAGTCAAGCAGTGGTTTAGTACGTCATGGAATCTTTCATTTACAAGTCACTGGCCGTGCTTGGCGATTCCGGAGTGTCAGCTTTAAGGGGTTCTTTTGAATCACTGGTCTTTGGAGGTGGCAAAACCAACCCAGTTAATTCGGTCCTTGCTGCACCGTAGTCAACCGAAAATGGATTGACCAATTCGCTTCCAGGTGGACCCTTCTGCTGGCTCACTTTTTGTAAGGCAATGTCGCCCTCTATATCTAAGTACTTTTCTCTTGGTCTTTCTGGGAAGTTCACGATGGCTTGGAAAAAATCAAAATTCTTGGGAATGTAATCATTCTCGAAGAGAAACTTGAGTGGATATGAAACGCAGATTATCGTGGCGAAGGAAACACACATGGAAAATGTTCGAAATGGAAACAACTGCCCATGCTCCTTGTCGAATAGTGGATATTCTATAAGCGGTGGCAGAGAAAGAAGTGGTTCGCCGCCGCCGAGACGTAGGATGAATCCAATTATGTAACCACACAATGAGCCGTATAGATTACAGCCAGAGAAATATACAACACAAAATAGTTGTGGAAAAAGAATGACATAAACGAGGTCCGAACATAAATACCATAGACCATATATTGTCTTTATAGTGATAGCTAAAACTGTAGCCAGAGCACCAACAATGAATATAGCAAGACGCATAACCCATAATATCTCGCGTTCGGAAGCCTGAAATAAAAGAAGACAAGAAAGTTATAAAATAATAGAGCTGATAAATTGGAAATGCACAAGTAAGGTTGCTTTAATAGTAAACAGAATTACTTGGTTGAAAGTGACAAAAGTGGACAGTGTGATAAAACAATAGAGTTATAAAATGTTGGCGTACTTTTGAAATATGCAAGAGTTAGAAAACAGCAAAAAATAATTTCTCATTATAAAGTTTGATTTTGTGATTTCTTGAAAAATGGTAAAGGGGGGGGGGTAAAAAAAGCACTGTTAAATATGAAAGTATTACCTGTTGTCTGAAAACCAACTTATAGACATTTCTGGCAAACATAGAACTCGCCGAAAGAACAGACGAATCTGCTGAGGACATGACAGCCGCTGACACTGCTCCCAGACCAAAGAATGAGACTGCTGCAGGGGTTAAATACTGGAGCACCAATGGAAGGATCAATTCAGTTTCTTCGTGTTCTGCTGGATCTCTCCCGTAGTCAGTTTCATTCCAACCTGAAAATTATCATGAATAAAGATGCAGTTTCAAGTAATTTTTAAGTAATTAGAAAAATAAAGATGCTGCGCTGTGATTTTCTACATCTATTATATACATCTATTGATATTCATATACATTGTACTTAGAATAAACATTTTTAGTACCACTCTAACAAATGTTAACAATTGATCTAAGATTCAGATGTTCTTTAGAAGTTACTGTATTAGGCATGCTACCATAGCAACCTATATGCCGTACGTACTGTATGTTTGAGGGATTGTGTTTTGGGGGTGGGTCGTGACAATGTACAAGAAATCTGTGTAATTTTTTTTTTTTGAAGCTTATGCTTTAAGGTTTCAAATTACAACCTGTAAAACTGTCCAACAAATTGTTGGCAGCATATGCCTGTAGGTATTTGGTTGTAGCTAGAAAATAAAAGCAAATAAAGAAAGCAGTCTTCTAGCCAACATTCAATGCAATTTGTTACAAACAATTCAATTCACAGATCATTTGCATGACTGAAAGCATTAATAAACGTTTTCAAAAGTTGAATAGACAAAAACAGCAATAGGGAAATTGATCGTCAATTAATTCCTTGGACAAACATTTGTACGGCATATGAATTACTGTATTCGTCTATATCTAAGCTTTCAGGGGATGCTTACTAATTAACATTCAGAGAATGTTTGAATCATGTATCACAATTTTTAACGCATTTTTTCTGTTGCTACGTAAAATATCTTTGTTATATATCAAAGTAAAGCTGAAGAAAGTGAATAACTTACGAGTTGATGACCCTATTGCGCCAATTAACACTGACGGTATCGCCATGAATATGCACCCTGCAGCGGCAATAAACGACAATATCTGAGCATTCCATGCAGAGGATGACGACAGGACACGTTGGAAATACACTTGCCAGGGAATACCACCAAACGTCTTCAAAATGTAAACATTAATATTTATTATTATTTAATAAAATATGCAATGCGATATTAAAGTGATGTATGAAAACAAATTACATACGTGTTTGCACCAAAACCAATTTGAATCAAGACGCCAAGCTGGTTAAAAATATATATGCAAATTTGAAGATTGCAAAGAAATTGTTTGAATTAATTATTCAAACCACAAGAAAACAGTTTACAACAATGATGACATACAGTAATGACGAAAGATAGAGCCAGGTAACAAATAATTTTGCGTTATCATATATAAGAAACATATATTTGAATATGAAAAGTTATATAATATGTCAGAGATATGACTCTGAAACAGCATTTGGCAAAACGAAATGACCACCAGTCGTCACTTTTTTTTATCCCATCTGAAAAACTAAATGACGTAATTCAAGTTTCATAATTTTTAATCAAGTTTGAACAAAATTTGTCCATACTTAATCAAGATCTAGTTTTTTAATGACAGGTTTTGATGAATTTATAGCCACCATTCGGCAATTATTAATGACATTGTGAAACAAATGGTGCACATGTATGCCTAGGTGTATGGTATGATCAGTTCAGGCATGACTGAAATACAGGTTGGGATCAGGACACACAGACACTGAGACCAATCTGTAAGTCCCCTTTTCGACACACAAAGCTCATCAAAATGGCAAAAGTTTTTAGTGACTGTGATCCAATCAGATAATGCGTTACTTACCAACAGTAGTGCATAGTCAATCCAGACCCCTGCATAGAGTGGATCCCATTCACCAACCCACCCAGACGGTGTAGCAGAGAACGAGAGCGGTTCCACTGCGTCATCCAACAAAGCAAATGGAATGCAAATCCACTGTATAGAGAAAATCATCGAAATATCATCTAGCAGTGCTTTTTGCGGGTGATTATCTGGATTTATGCAAATGAGATGTACTGGTCACGATGCAGTTTAAATCATCATGCAATCTAAAATTAACATAATGATACATTTCGTATCGCATTTTATAGTTAACAATTTTTCAACATAATTCTTCTCTGGAACCAAAAGCCAGATTTATTCGGTATTTGTTCTACATTACACCTCAGAACTTCTGTTACATATTATCGCTATAGCTACACCAACTCGAGTGTGTTTCCCGTATATACCTGTACCATTCACCTAACTTCTGCCCACAACAGATTTGAATTTTTATGACCTTTGTACAGCAAACCACAGCCAATGCAATGATGTTTCATATTGGTTTTTCTCTTTTTTCGGTGATGAATTTAATTAAAATTGTATTTTCAAGATAAAATTTTTCACAAAATTGTCAGTTGTGAATTAATTAACTGCTAAAAGACTGGTAATTCAAGATTATTCACTGCACTTAAATAAATAAAATGTAAAAATGTTTCACTTACCAAACCAATGAAAATACATATAAGCTGCACAACGTCTGTATACGCCACCGAATAAAGACCCCCTATGAGTGTGTAAAATACAGCAATGCACGCCGATACTATTATAGATATCTCCATTCTGATATCAAGAATAACACTCAATGTAGCGCCTGAAATAAGACATACCAAAAAATTTCGGTTAAAGTTGATTCATTACCAAGTAACCCTGACAACACTTGAGTTATGTTCCAACGAGAATGGATTAACAAGTTTCAGCAGTAACTCCAAACAAGGCCGAATCCAGACGAATTCTTTTTCTTTCTTTCTTTCTCACAAAGCATGCAAATTCAGACAACCAAGTATGATATAATGGACTCCAAGAACACTATTGCACTCTGGTTTACGCCTGCTTCTATTTAGTGATGTGCTTCTAATAGAGAAAATATAGTACATGCTTTTCTGTAAGGTTCAGTAGTGTTATAGTATTATTTATTGAAATAGGAATTTACCAGCACAAAGATAACGGGAATTATTTCTGCTTGCCTCGCACATCAAAAAAGCAACAGGTAGTTCATATTGTGGTCATCAGTATTCTGCAGCGTGTATAATGTACTATTCGTAGATTGTAGTTTGAATATTTCCGCAGTACGCGATCAATTGTTGTACATATCCACCACGTACTGTACATCTAAGTACGTAGCAAGATGTAAAATCATAATAGAAGTAATTTCAACAAAATATTTGATTTGAAATACTGCAAAGTTAGTAATCAGTTTAACCTTTTCACCACCAGACTTTCTTGCCTAAATTTGTCTGCACTTTTTTTCTTGTATTCTTCAATATTTTTGGAAATAAACCCTAATTTTTGAGCCAACAGGCAAAATTTGAGTCAATTTTCAGTTTTTAATCAACAAATTTGGGTATGTTTGGCCCAATTTTCTGCAGGAAAGTGCAGACTACAAATGAAACTAATTTTTGAATTTGTGAAAAAAAGCGGGAACAGGTGGTGAAAGAAAGCCCATGCACCTTCAAAATGCAAACCGTGGGTATACATACCTAAAGCAGACAAGATGGCGGCTGTCCAGAAGACTTCACCTAGCAACGCAGGGATAAATAACAATCCTCCCATTCTCTCACCGTACTTCAGCTGAAATGGATCAAGCATGGTGACGTATCCCTGCGATCTCATCTGCTTAGCGAATAAAAGACCACCTATGAAGAGAATCATTCATATAAGGTTATCCTCATTTCAAGAATTGTTACACTTGCACAATATGACCATATGATTGAAATTAGGAGAGGGGTCTAATCCATAAAGTCGCTAATTATTTCATTAATTTCAATGTCCTCATACAATCTATTAAAAGTTTCATTCAGGTTCATTCTACTTTTATAATTATTATTTTTTTATTTGAAAAAAAAAAAGTTATTTGTTCAATCACCATACGTTATACATACTGTAAATTAATTAATTATTCACTGGGTTTTAATTTTTGTATTTTCGCTGATAAGTAAAATCCACTAAATTAAATCTATGTGAACATGTAAAGTAACAATAAAACTCATTGTTTCCTTGACAAATTCGTGAAATTAAAACACAGTGAATAAGCTCAAAACATTGAAACAGTGGAATTAAATGTCAGTGAAAATAAATGGTTTTACAGTATATTCCTTGAAAACTTACCAAGAACTAAACTAAGAGCATAACCCCAGGGTGCTTGTGCCCATACTAGACCATAATCTGGATTATATACTGCCTCAGCTGTTCCATTGATGTAACCACCTCCCACCCATGTTGCTGTGAAAATAATAAAACATATGAAATTATTATTTCCAATCTTTAGGGGTATTGTACCGCTCTCTGATAGCAGCAAAAGAAATTATTGTTTGGCCACATCGCCCTCTAGAGGCAGAAAAAGATCAACTGGAACTGTAATAACTTATTCAATAAAATTGATTAGGAATTTATTTTTATAAGAGAAGCAAGCAGATATTAAATTTTCAGTTGATTGGACACAAGAATGAGATGTAATTGATTATTATTACTGGTACATATCTAAGTAAAATTGAGAACAGATAAATTAAATTAAAATGTATGATATGTACATTTTGCAGTATCGGTAATTAATACATTACTAGTGCATTCGCGATAACAAACTCCATGCAAAGAATGAAATTCTTCTTTAGCATACTATCTCAAAAACCTATTTTCAGGACATACAGAAGCACACAATGACATCGGGGAAAATACTCCAAACTAATTGTTTAACTTTGAAATAATTTTTTGTGAATTTTACCAGTTAGGGGAAACTGTTGTAGCGGTGAATATTTTTATTGTTGTTCTAAAAGAAGTGCTCTGAGCACATTCATTGAGATTTACTGGGGTATTTAGGTCTATTATGTGTATATTTGATAGTCTGAAAAAATACAAGCATTAATTGTCAGGAATAAGCAAGCTGTCACAAGGAAGATGCTTTGAATGATTCCTAAAATACAAGCATACTGTAACAATATTTAAAAATGGCAGCGAATTAAATTTGAACACACAATAAAATTTTGACATTTATAACAAATATATACAATTCTCATAAATTCATACATTCAAAAATTTCACATATTTGTCCCAAGATCTCAACACAGCTATACAAATTATCTCATAGCACAACTTCAAAGACGAGGGGTCAGAGTGATCTTTTGCAAGTTCATCTGCTTACCATACTCTGCAATTTTAATATGACCTGATAATTCTTTCAGGTAAAGACCGTGTTTCAGTATTATAAGTATCAAGAGGGTATCAACAATAATTGTACATTTGTATGTGCATGATAAGCCCACCTATAAACATAAGTTAATATTATAATGAGGAGTGCACAGAATTTAGCTTTTAGAATAAATATAGTTTCATACTTAATTATTGAAATCAAATTACAATTATACCATCCACAAAAATCTGACCCCAGACGTTATAAACAGCACCTAATGTTGATATCAAGTGCTTTGCAATTCACATATATTTCTGTTAAATGTATACGAGAGGAAATTTAGCATAAAACCACTATAATTTCATGCAATTTGTGTGAAACATGGCAAATTGTGAGACTTTGTAGCAAAAGGATCAGAGTCACAGCAACTGTCACAAAATACAATTCATCAAATTGTTTGAAAATTTTGTATTTTTTGCACTCCATCACGACCAGTAATCGCTAAGTATTTTAAAGATTATGTTTCCAAGCCTAAAGTGAGATAAGAAAACCTGTCTGTCACAAAAAGTGCAGTGATCGGATATAAATAGGCATGCAACACAACACCGCAATTTACTGAGCGTAGAAAGATGTTTATCACAGTAACTCATCCAATCACTGCAATAATCACCTTATCATGTAACCTTTGACCTAACTACATTAGGTAGACATCGCGATAATGAATTTGCTATTATTTCAAACTAGCGGGAGCGGCCACTACTTACATGTATAGCAACGTGTCTAGAATATCTAATTCGTATAATGAAGTCACTTTTTTATTTAGTTAATGTAGTCACCATCTTATTATTCAAACTGTTAGGATTTTAAAAGCAAAGCTAAAAAGATCCTCAATACACTAAAACCTGGTGGTCACCTATACAATTGTTACAACGACAGATGTCACCTTTTCATGACCAGACTTTCTCGCCTAAAGTTTTCTGCATTTCTTCCTTACATTCTTCAATATTTATTGAAATACACCCTAATTTTGGAGCCAACAGACAAAAGTTTGGCTATTTTTCTTCCAATCTTCTGAAGGACCTTGCTGACTATAAACGGGACTATTTTGTGAATTTGTGATGAGAAGTCTGATAGTGTGCTGCAAGTAAAAAATCAGAGTGAATTGAACTAATTCCCAAAGTAAAAGTTAAATTAGTATACTTAAATCCCAAGAATTATTTCATGGTGGTCGGCATCCAGGAAGTTTTAGAGAGTAAAAGTTGTCAAATCTGCAAGAAATGAGTTATTTGGTATCCAGGCAACAATTATACTGTCAGTCATATTGATTCAGTATATTTCACAGAACGATTGCAGAAACGAAGGCATGATTATTCCCTGTAAGAGAACCCTGAAGTGAAATGGCAAACACATATTACACACTTCAACACAGGCCTTGTTTCAATTTAATCAACTTGTATTGTAATCTTTCTATTAGTTGGATAACCTAACTTCTTTTAACAATAATTATAATTAAATATAATTTTAGGAATATTGCCATTCACAAATGTTAAACGTACACCTGTCAGTATTGTAGTTATAGTGTACTTATTTGTTTGTCGATCGAATGACTTCAGCAATCAGTACATCGTGCTCCATGACGCTATTTGAGAACTTAGCTATATTACCAAATCGTTTTATAAATAACCAAACAAAGTAATTAACAAACAATACAATTTGTGTAACCAAACTCACGGGACTGGCTTTCTGCTGGCTTTGACTTTTAATAATTAAGAACTTACCATGTAAAAAGAATCATAGTTATCAATAATTATGTAGTGTATAAAGCGCTACAGTCATTGCACAGAGCATTTTAGAATTTTGCGTATGCAAACAATGTATATTACACGCGTTGTATATGTATATGTCGCTATGGGTCCTATATCAAACAGGAAGCGACGTGGCGACTGTAACGTTTCAAGTTTACCTACATTTAGGTTAATTACTAATATGTGATATATCGTAATAGCGTGATATTTAGAGTTATGGTGGATTTGAAAGCAAACAAGCTAAATGTTAATAGTTATGCTCATCAATATCGTAATTTGTTGAATACTTATTTTAAGTATGACAATTTGAATGGAAACTGGCACAGGGATAGCGAAAACACTGTAATAGGCACCGGAAACGCAAACTAGTGCATGCTTGAGTTTGTTGAACCATACAGCAGGATTGCGTCCATTCTATCCCAGCATTCTTTGCACCAACCTTCTTTCTCTACCTAGCGACCCCTAGATAGATTGTTCAAGCCTAGTTACCATAGCAACTCAGCCAACAATGATAACAGGATTTTCTTTTAATCTCATCATTTGTCAAGACCTCAATTTTTTTGCTGCTGCTAACTTGAATAAATATGTTTGGCTGATAGAAGAAGGGCCTAGAACTAATTTTAGAATCCAGATCCTGAATCAATATATTTTCCTGCAGATTAATTGCAGTCTGACCCTTTACCTACAGAAGAGGAGACCGAATTCTAATAAAGCGTATACTGTTCGATATACGTATATATCAGATGGGTTACAAGGGCATCGGATGTCAAGTGTGCTACTTCACTGTCTTCAAAAATCTTATTAAAGTACAGTCACGATTGGATAATCTCTCGGTAGTGCAGCGATTGACATGCTTTCTGGCTAATGAAAAATAAGTCTCAATCTGACGGAGATGCGCAGCCGGCAATTTAGTTTTACTCCGCTAAGATAGTGCCACAATGAGACAGAGCAGAGTGATTTGAGGACACTATGTCAGACATAAAGCTGAGTAAACACACAGCCTGACTGATTCTACTGATCGATGGTGGATTCTTTGTAGACGACAGTCGACTCTTCGTATCATATCACCGATATTGATTTATTGGTAGTTGATTTCTGACTGGCAAACATACGAGTACGACTATCTATTTTAAAATATGAACATTCTTGTTCCTCTCATGTTGTCATGACAACCTGATTTTAATATTTCTTATTTTTAAATTGAAAGAAAATGATTGGAGCATTTCTCAACATATTAAGAAATCAGATATATCCCCCCGGTATATATAGATTTCTAAAGCTTCAAAGGGTTGATTATTTTCAGTCGATAGTTTTTCTTTTTTCTGGAAATAAAATATCAGCTATTAAAGAAGTAAATATGTTCAAGGAGCAATTTATCTTTTTTTTAGACATTTCAATTTTTGCCTCAATAGTGAAGTTGATATATCAATTATGGTGCTAAAATTACTCAATGTAAAAGTATAAAAAGTTGCATATCTATAAAAAATGGTAGTCATGGTGATAATATTTCATTCTATTCATTTTAAAAAATTATTAGACAACAGTAATGTGATGATTGTGTTTATTTTAAGTAAAAACATATAACTTTATTAAAACAATGCACGTGATATTTTGGATATTTACTGATGTTATTGAAATGTTAGGGCACATTAGTTTACTTCTCTGGAAAATGCAATTTGTAATTTTGGGATTTCTCAATGACTTGTATAGTTTTCTATAAATACACTAAAATCACAAAAAACTGCATAGCTACATTACAACACGTACTTCCACTGGTAAAGGTCACTAATTATTTCAATATTTATTCATAACTTACAATTGTGTAAATTTCGTGTGGAACAACTGGAAGGGTTGAGCAAATAGCAATATTGAATGTTGATTTCAATGGTTCCTTGTAGCATTTCATAAAAGGAAGCAACAGCAGTATATGGCTTTTCAATCATCATTCAAGCGAGCAACATTATTCCAATTCTACAAATCACAATGGCTTTGACAAGCTGTTGTTGTATAAAAAAAAACACAAGGCATCGACTGAAGTACATACTATTTATGCTGCAGTTTGAAAAAAAAAAAAGTAGATAATAATTACAGATGCTGATTTTGAATAATACTACGGAAATGAAAATTTTATGAAATGATATGAAATCTCAACTAATTCAAACTATTCAGTGTTCTCCACGAGGGGTTTAAGAGGGGCGCAGCGCCCCTCTTTAATTTATTTGCGCCCCTCTTTAATTTATTTGCGCCCCTCTTTAATTTGTAGTGCCCCTCTATTTATCTTCAGCGCCCTC